TACCCTGGGGGCAAGTGGCATGTGATTTGTGCTATTCATGATCAGCTTTCAGACTCTTCAGTCCTCACATTATTACTTCTGTATAGTTCTACATCTCAAAGTCAATTCATTATTTCTTTTTTATGATGCAATGGACAGTGTGGTAGAAAGTTAGGTTTAGTATCTTGAGTTTTTAACTGGTTTCTTGCCACTCTTCCCATGAACCATAGTCATTTATTCACTCATCGTCCTGTGATCTTGGGCACTGATACAAATTTCCCAGGATGTTGTCACAAATGGAGAAGTAGAGTTATCCCCCAATATCAATCACATATGGAAATGGGGATGAAGCCACAGGTCTAGAGACTTGGGTTCTGACGTGAGTCACTTAACTCTCAGAGAGTTGGCTTTTCTCATTTGTAAAGTGTCTGTGTGGGAAGGAGGTGGATGAGTTAGATGAACACAGGGAGTTCACACAAGTTCTCACAGGACAAATATCAAACCAGGTCTTATTTGCCAAGTGGTTACTCTGTGTGCTAGTTAGTACCCAGCAGAGTAAGACAGTGAAGCAGAACAATACATGAACACATTGGATCAATTAATAATATGGTATGGACTGTTTAAAACTGACCGAAATGCCTCCATTTCCTCTGATCAGACCACACTGTCTGAATCAACAGTCTGAGAGACACTTCCAGTAGCTGGAAGTATCCCAACTTAGTGTGACAAGGTTGGTCTGCTGTGCTGGGAGCTGGAGTTACAGCTAGCAACTCGGTGACAAACATCATGAGGCAAGTACTGAATCGAACGTTTGAATTCATATAGCTAAGGCTCAAGGATGGCTAGCATTAACAGCCCATGCCATCTGGTAACTTTCTGTTTTGCCCACTCAATCCTAACTAACTGAGCTTTCCAAATAATTATTTTAAATTTATGTGACTTCCAGATGCCCATGACCTTAAACAAAAAGCCCCAGTCATCCTGCCCTCGTTACAGCCTTGATTTTGATTTAAAATCAGAAGAATCTATAGTTATTTAATAGCAATTTGTTGGAATAACTAACAGTTTTCAAACACTGTGGCTTATGAAACAAAAATTAGCAATAATAATTTTAAAAAGCATCACTACCATTTGGTGCTTCAAGCTCCAATTTCCCATTGTTCAGCACCCTGCCTGCAGCCCTAGGCGCCTGGCACACAGTGGGCACTTGATAAAAATGTAACTGGAGGCATGCCCATAGACCAGCCACACTGTGCTGATTCAGTTTAGTAGTTAATGTGCTGCCAGAAGACGGGGCAGATGTCCAAAATCTAGGACAAACTCCAGAATACATTGTCAGCTGTGAGGACAGAGTCCTCAGCTAATTTGAGGTTTTCTTCTCTGGTTCCAAAGCAGAGCTTTGTGAATTAAAACCTCCCGGGACACGCCATGAAGTCCCACATTAAGTGAATGAACCCACTGTTTTTTATTGTGTCTTCAGCGTTACATGTGTTGTTTCTTGGTCCTTCCTTTGAATTTGTGTTGATAGGCCAATAGGAGTGGTTTCTTTTAAATCTTCTTTCAAGAAACAAACCCCAAGCAACAACTGAGAGAAACTGAACTGACCCTGGATAGGTCTTGACTTCGATTTCTTTCTCTCTCCTTTTACTATGAAAAACATTTGGAAGAGACCACACATACTCATACCTCAAGGCAGGATTCTTCCTCCTCTTTTCCTCCCTCCTCCTTCCCTTCCTTAAATCTTTCCTCTTCACCTTGCCTCTGTTCAGTATATGAGGCTCTTTTCTCTGTGCCCTAGCTATTGTTTCTAGTCTCATAGCATTGATGTTTCTTATGCGCATCTGTTTCTCCTGTATTAGGCAATGACCACCACTTCGTTCAAAGTAGCTAAGGTAAAGAAACATATTTTGAACTTACAAAATTACAAATGTCATGGATAGGGACATATAATTTCAACATGAAGCCAGGCATCAGTGTTTGTGATTGTTTGCTTTTTTAATTTTTTTTTTTACATTCCAATCCCTATTCCCCCTCCCTTTTTTTCTTCCTGCCCCCCTACCTCCCATCTGCTCCTCAGAGAGGGTAAGACCTCCCTTAGGAAGTCTACTGTGTGTCCCATCATCTCCTTGAGGCAGGATCAAGGCATCTCTCCACCTTCACACCCCTGTGTCTAGCCTGAGCAAGGTATCTCTCCCTACAGAATGGGCTCTACTAAGTCAGTTTGTACATTAGTGTAAGATCTTGGATGAACCACCAGTGGCCTCATATATTGCCCCAGTCACACATTGTCACCTATATTAAGGGAGTCTAGTTCAGTCTTATGCAGGTTCCCCATTTGTCAACCTGAGTCAGTGATCTCTCACTAGCTAAGGTCAGTTGATTCTATGGGTTTCCCCATCATGCTCTTGACTCCTTTGTTCATAATATCAATCTTCCCTCACTGCGATTGTACTCCAGGAGCTTGGCCCATTGGCTGTTCTGGATTTCTGCATCTGCTTCCATCTGTTTCTGGAAGAGGTTCTAGCTTCTCTGGGGTTGTGGATTCTAGGCTCAGTATCTTTTGCTTTATGTCTGGTATCCACTTATGAGCAAGTCCATACTATATGTCTTTCTGGTTTGGGTTTACCTCAGAATGATTTTTTCTAATCTATTTGCCTGTCCATTTAGGATGTCATTGTTTCTTACTGCTGAGTAGTACTCCATTGTGTAAAAATATCACATTTTCTTTATCCATTCTTCAGTTGAGGGGCGTCTAGGTTGTTTCCAAGATCTGGCTGTTACAACTAATGTTGCTATGAACACAGTTGAGCAAATGTCCTCATGGTGTGAATGTGCCTCCTTTGAGTATATGCCCAGAAGTGGTATTGCAGGGTCTTGAGGTAGGTTGATCCCTAATATTCTCCATACTGATTTCCACAGCAGCTGTTCAAGTTTGTACTTGAAAACATTCAAAAGGTTAACATAGTTCAGCAACTGCCAAAAAAAGTTACTAACATCACTTTACCCATAATAGACTAAAGGAATAAAATTTAATGTAGAACATGTATTGCTACAAGTCAGGATAGAAAGATTCTCCCATCTCAGGCAAGCAAAGGCCATTGATAAGTCATTGCCAAAGAAGTACAGATGATGAGTGTGAATGTAAAACCAAATCTGCAACATCACCTGCAGTAAAACCGCTTCAGATTTGAAGCAATAATATCCTAATGCTGTTTAGAAATTTTCCAAAAAGAACTTGTAAGGTAATGTTCAACTGCAAGAAGAGGTCAGAAATGACCATATGCTAATGAAAGCATGATTTTTGTGAAACCGTTGAGGACAAGAGCTTTTAAGAAATTACAGGGGCTGGGGAGATGGCTCAGCAGTTCAGGGTTGACTTCCCAGGATCCACATGGCAGATCACAACCACTGGTAACTCCAGAGCCAGGAGATCCAATCCCTCTTCTGGCCTCCAGGATTGTACATATAAGCAAGCCAGTACACATACAGAAACACATAAGACAAATTTTTTTTTAAAAGACACTTTAGGGGAAAAGTTACTTGTCTTCCAACCCATCAAACTCTCATTCAGCAAATATTTTTTAGCATCTCTAATATGTTCTTCTAATTACTAAAAATTGAGTTTCAAGTTTTAAGGACTGAATGTATATGAAGAAAATAATAGGGTGATTAAATGCTCATTTACAGGGTGCTACTAAGTTATTACAGTAAGGAAATGCTGAAAGCAATTTTATTTAAAGCTTAAATGATTATGTGAACTAGAACAATCCATGCAGTAAGATGTCCATGTATTAGTTTGCTTTCTATTGCTGTGATAAAGACCACAGCTAGATGCAACTTGGGGAAGAAAGGGCTTATTTGACTCATTCATCCCTACTAACATCCATCATTGAGGGAAGCCAAGGCAGGAACTCAAGTAGGACAGGAACCTGGAGGCAGGAACTGAAGCTGAGACCATGGAGGAGTGCTGTTTACTGGTTTGCTCCTTGTGGCTTGCTCAGCCTGCTTTTTTAACCATCTAAGGCCACAGAGGGCTGGCCCCCACTCCCTCATCAATCATCAGTCAAGAACATGCTGCACAGACTTGACCTCAGGACAATCTGATGGAGGCACTTTCTCAACTGAAGTTCCCTCTTCCCACATAATTCTGGCTTGTGTCAAGTTGACAGAAAATTAACCGGCACCTCCAAGAACTACTGAAGTGTGGAAAGGGTTGGCTACAGCCAATATGTAATTTGACTCCATTGTTACTTAAGAATATAAATGAGTAGAAAAATAGTCTCACACCTTCAAAACTAAGGCATTATTTGATCATGAGTTACCTGGTATACTTACCATACTTCATATTTTTCAATCTAATTGATTATCACCCCCAAAAACATAGGTTTTAATTGTTAAAGATGTATTCATTGGAGCAAGATATTGTGCATTTGCATGTCATAATTAATTAAGACAGCTCACTGAGAGAAAAATAAGAAATTCTCCATTATTTAAAATATTCAGCACAGAATTTGATGAATATGAAAACTGAAAATTTAAAAATAGAAGAGATTGTTTTTCATCCTTACAGCAAGATAATTTTATAGAAAGCTCTCCCATTGCTTCACACGGTGATGTGTTGAAGGTCACCATTTCCTTGTAAGTAGGATGGTAACCCCTGATCTCCAGTGTTACCCACATAGAGTTCCCACACATTATAAAGATGCACAACTACCCCAGTAAGGACCCCAGGACAAACACTGGGGCGTGCCTGTCAATGCCAGTGGAGTCTTCCATCACATTTCTTGTTTTGTAAAGTTGACACTTCTTTCTAATGTTTCTCTTGGAAGAAATAACTCGCTGAAAAATTACCAAACCACAAATACCTGAAGGGGTCCCTGGAGAGAAACCCAATAAAAGCACCCTTTACCAGACTATTCAAAGTTATTCATAGTACTATTGTAAGTAATGTAAATTTGGAGGCTTGGTATGTCCCCGACTTGGTCCCCCAAACCTCATGTGTCTTCTCATTCTTTCCCCAGAATGTCGCGTGGTGAAATCCACTTCCTATACCAAAATAGCATCATCGTCCCGCAGAGGCACAACCAAGAGCCCAGGACCTTCCCGGCGAAGCAAGTCCCCAGCCTCCACCAGCTCAGGTAAAGCCACTAAGAGCCTCCCTGGCCGCCACCTGGCTTCTGATGCAGCCGAGGGTATGTGGAGCGATAGTGTGAGTTCTCAAGCAGGCGTCAGTTCTGGTTTGTAATTTTAGAACATGTTCAAGCGGATGAACAGATTTGCCCAAGTCTAGCATGTTGGCTGTAAGAAAAAAAAAAATCAAACTTAAAAAAAAAAAAAACCACTTACTGAGACTCAGGAAATACAGATTTCCTCCAAATGGAAGCACTTAACCAGCTGCCGCAGCTTCTACCTGGCTCATCTCTCAGGGTCTAGAAATTTCCATTGGGGCATTGCTTCTACTTGGGGCTGGCTTATGGAGGGTTTCCAGTTTGTCTTTGCTGAACCTGTTTTTCATGCTTGTGACACTGGCCTGGGTTACCTTATATGGCTCTGGGGCCAAAAAGCAATGAGACTGAGGACAGGGGGAGGTCTGCCACTTCAGTGACCCTGGCTGGGTCATTTTCAGAATGGACTCAGATGTTGGTGTTGGAAGTGGCTGTGTGCCGGGATAAAGAACATCTCAGCCCCTTCGTCATCTCCTTTGATATCTTTAATTAATTAATTAATGCGTATATGCATTTAGGTTGTTTTATGTATGCTGTTTTGTAATTAAACACTTTTTATTATTGTTCACAGTTTTATACACTCATATATGAAATTAATTCATTTTTCACTCCCCACTTCCTCTCCTAAGATACACACAAGTCTTGGAAGGTGTTGGAATAGGGGTTTGTTTTAGAGCTTTTATTCCATGGAAGACACATAGACAACTTCCTTTTGTCTAGGTACATCTTCTACTTTGAATCTCTGTCTTCATAGAATATCATGGCAAACATAACTGAGCCCACCACAGGTGTCTTAGAACTCTCAGTTCAAGCATGCGTGAACTCACCACCCCCACCTTCAGAAGCACACAGTCTAAAGGAGAGTTGCTCTCTGTGTCTGCAGATTCTCTGTTGCCTGTTCAACCAACCATGGGTCAAAAACACTCAGGAAAGAAATTGCATTTGTACAGAATATGCAGTGTATTTTGGGCCAATATTCCCTAAGTAATGGGACATGACCACTGTTTATGTCCTATTTATGCCTTGTTAGGTATTGTAAGTAATCTAGAGCTAATCTAGCAGCTATGTATAGGTCATATGTAGATACCATGCCAGTTTGTATGAATCTTGAGTATCTATAGATTGGAGTATTCATAGGAGGACCAAAAACTCCCCAAGGATGTAGAGGGACAACTGCATTGCCTCTGTGGTATAGAAACACTCCTGGCAACAAGTGTTGAATAATGAACATAGACTTTCTGTTGAGGGTCAGTGCTGAGTGCTACAGATGGGAGGGAGGGCAGTCAAAAGAGAAAAGCCTTTGCCCATGAATTTCTACTGTGATTGAAGCACTCACTATTCCTTATAAGGCATTACTTATAGAGACTCCAGAAATCCTGGTCTTTTGTTTATGCTATTTAAATTTTACATTTTTATGGATATATAAAGTATTTTATGCAGTATATGCAGAGAAGAACAGAATCAAAGCTGGGGAAGTGCAGAGAATTTTAATCAGCTCACTCGACTAATTTGGCAAGTTCTTTTGATTTCTATCAGATGCCTTCAAAGTCAAACTGCTAGCTATTAATCTTAGCTCCACCAGTTATTTCAGTGCGGAGATTTGGCTGGGCAATCTGCATTGTAAGAAAGAGTGTTTCTGCTTTGAGGCTCCAACAGAATTGTTGGAGATAAAATTCGCCAAGAAACCAGTGGTTCATCCCTTGTGTTTCCAAATTTCCATGTATTTAAAGCTTGTTCTCAAAACTATTCTTTTCTCACCCATTCAGCACTCAACCCAATGAGGTCCCTAAAGATATTCTTCATAGCTCTGAACCGTTACCATGACTTAATGTTTACTTGGGGATGGTACCAACTGCCTCATATAGTTCCTCACTGTTGATGTCAGGTTGGACACTTCCTGCGTGTCTGCCATGTTCCAGCATGCTTTAGGCCTCACAGAGCAACAACAATTAAATTACAGTGCTTGCTGAAAGACTCATTTGTATTCTAGTGGGGTGGGGTAGTTACTGTTATGGTATACTATGTGTCATGTGGTGAAGGCCTGGAGGATGGAGAGGGTAAGCATCATTAACCCAGTCAGAGTAAGTTTCCAGGAGTCTAGGATTTATAAATTGTCCCTGGAATAATTTTGCTAGGATATGAAGGGTCCGAAGGATATTTTCTTCAAATTAAATGAAGGCATGAAGCCATGAAAGTATGAGGAACAGTTGTCAGTTTGATAAGGAGCTGAACGTGGTGGCACAAACCTGATATCCCAATACTCAAAAGTCTGGGAAAGTATGAGTTTTCAGCTATTCTGGGCTACACAATGAGACTCTGAAAAACTAAATCACAATTCTGTAAAGGTCTGGAAAACATGACACATCTGAGTTGCATGTCAGGTTGCACAGGGCCATGGAGACGAGTTTCCTATTGTAGGTCTTAGGAGGTGAAAGAGGACCACATTTGAGTTCAACAACAAAACACCATCTAGGAACAACTCTATTCAAGAGTAGAAAGACTCTGGAGGTTTCTGTAGTTCCCCTGGGAAGAAATTAGCAGAAGAAACCTGAAACCATGTTAGAAATAGAAGAAAACTTCAAAGGTTTAGCCAAATGTGAGGATGACAACAACTCAGAGACAGATTCCGTTTGTCCAGGGGTGTAGGGGTAGAGTTCCACTTTAGACATGAGAAATGTGTGATATTAAAATGTCAGGAAGCATGAATGACTGAGTAAGGAGATTTGAGCTGACAGTATAGACCCTGGCATAAAACAATTATTCAAACAATAGAAACGTAAGACTCTTCTGCCTCATCCAGAGATTTGCAAAGATGAAAATGGAACCCTGAGGAGCATCTGCCATTCTGAGAGTGGATCAGAGGAATCTAGAAAACTATGAGTGGGAAGTAATAGCCCAAAATGCAGGAAGCTGGAAGTAGAGCAGCAACACGGGTAGTCTATCCTAGAAGCCACATAGCAAGGAGTTCACAGGGGCTCCACAGCGAGGATACAACTAGGAAGTTCAAGCAGGCAAGACCACGTGTCTTTGGGGGCTTGAACATTCTTGATTTCAAGAATGTTCTCCTTGATTTCATGATTAAGTTGCCCCCGTCTGGCTGGCTCCCAGGCTGAGATGGGTGGAGTCTCAAAGGGGCTGATATAAGATGCTGGTGGTACCTAAGCCACTCTCTATAACCATAACCTTGGATCAACTGTTAGAAACTCATAACTTCCATCTTCTGACATATTGGGTCCGTGGTACCTTCTGGTGGATGCTGACTACATACACGAATAAAGTGTGAAATATTAGGAACTGTGGAGGTATCCTAGTGCACGCTCATAAATATGTGCTTTAAAATGAACTGGCAGGGCCATCTCTCTTCTCCTTTCTCCTCTGCTCCTGGTGATCCCGCCTTCCCATCGCTCCCAGTAGACCGTCTCTCTGTAGTCATCAAAGCTCTATCTCACCTATGAAGTTAGAATTGGGGAATTCTAATTCTAGCTCTAACCTAGATTCTAATTCTAATTCTAAATTCTAGTTCTAAATTCTAATTCCAAATTCTAATTCTAGTTCTAAATTATAATTCTAACCTAAATTCTAATTCTAAACTTATTACAGCGCCATCTTTGTTTTCCCTGAGTCCATGCGCTTTCTCATTCTTCTTTCCTACCTCACCCTGATAATGTGGCAAGCCATGGTCACATATTGGGCTCAGAAAGAGGTTCTGGGCAGTGAACAGTCTCAGCTGTGCCCGGGAAGTCAGGGGCAGTCTAAGGCAGCTGGAGCCTTACTTGGACAGCCACCCTGGGAACCTACAGATAGACATGGATTTGCCTCCACTTCCTTCACTGATCCTGGCTTCTCAATGCCAGAGATAAATGGTTTTCATGTTAGAAGATGTCAGGGAAATGGAAAGTGGATTTCATTCCACTTGTGCCCATGTAGCAACTAAACAGGAGAGAGAAGAAAAGGACAAATCAAAATTTTTCATCATAGCAAATGGCTTGAAACTTATATATGTAGTCCAAAGGGTGAGCAAAACAATGACTATTAAAGATATCATTTGGACATTTATTTTTACTTTAAAAATTCTATTGTAAAGCCAAGCATAGTGGATCATACTATAATCTTAGCCCTCAACAGGCTGAAAACTCGAAGATCACATTTCAGTCCAGTATGAGCTACTTAGCTAAGACCCTGCCTCCAAAAATTAAAGTAATAGTAATGATTTAATTTTTCATTATAATTCATGAAATTGTAAGCGATATATTCTCATTACTAAGTATTTTTCTAGTTTTTTAATAATATATATATATATTTGCACTCTGGTAAGGTATTGATAAAACTTTCCAATTGACTTTTTGTTTGAAGGTAATACAAAATTATAAATGCAAATACTTTGTAAAATTTTTTTTGAGAAAAGTCATAAAGGTCAAATGGACCTATAGGCACTTTGCCTTTTGTGCCATAAACATCTTCAAATGTTCATACAGACCTAAGAAACCATGGCAGCTGTTTGTTCCTGTGTAAGCTTAGTTATTCTAGCAAACAAGGGGTGGAGGCTCCTAGCTGAGTTGGTAGTAAGTATGGAGTGGGTTTGATTGTAGTTTCTTTTAACATCTCTTACACTGTAGAGCACCACAGTGGTTCATATATTCTTCTATCCTCCCTCTGTGTCCACCTTTTATAGCCACATTTATGTCTGTGTTTCCAGAAAAGGAAAAGGCAGATCAAAAGTTCTTGTGCACTCTTATTATGGCACAGAGAACTGACTGGGACAGAATGGGAAGCAGCTAACCACTGATACTACTTCACTAGACTTTGTGTTTTCAGATCACGAGTCTGTTCATCCCTCTGTGCCCTGCTTCTCCTGGAGACACATAGACACCATTAGTTGTCCCTGTATGGACTTCTCAGCCATTTTCTTCACTTAGTAGAGTCCCTACCTCTGCAGGCATGTTGGGTCCCCTCCCACACACACATTTTAGTTCTCATTTTAATTCCTAGTGATGAACAGACTCTAGTGTATAGTGATTCTAGCTGAACACTCTCATGCCCTTCTGCCTCTCCTGGGTCATTTTATATAACCCAGGATTTCCTTGATTTTTACTGTGTATCCCAGGCTGATTCGAATACCATCCTCCTGCATCCGTTTCAAGACTGCTACTATCATGCCTGACCTTCAAAAATTTTTATTTACTTGCTTATTTATTTATTCTTCTACAGTTTCATAAATAGCTTTCTATATCTATATATATGATGAACTTTAGTCATTTTCACTCCATTACTCTCTGTCATCCCCCTTTCTGTAAAACCCTCCTCCCTAGCAAGTTCCCATCCCATTTTTATATCTGTCTATGCATGTGTAACCTATTGTGTTAATTAGAGCTGCTTGCATTAGTGGGAGTGGGGGGCTGTTTACTGGAGCATGGAAAACTTCTCCATGACTATGTGACTGAAGGAAGTGCCCCTTCCCCTAATAACCATTAACTGTCAGTAGTCCCTCAGGAGGGCTGGGACCTCACAAGACCTTCCCTCTTCCATGATGAAATGCTGACAGGCATAATCTTATGTAGGTCTTGTGTGAATAACAACACCTGCAGTGAGTTTGTAGGTATCACGTCCATATCATGCCCAAAAGGTGTCCTTTTTGGCACTCCTCCCCATCCTCCACCTCTTCCATGCTTTCTGTCTCCTCCTCCAGCGTGTTCCTGAGGCTTGGGATTTTAACCAGTTAGGAATCTCTGCATTATCTGCTGCTGCCAGATGCAATAAGAAGTGTATGCATTGTTGGTGGGTGGATATATACATGGCTACTTGGAAAACAGTTCCATCGTGTGTCTGTTTAGCAAAGTGATAATAGTGGGTTCCCCCCATGGACTACAGTTTCCCCGGCCATTAGCTCCTGACCAGGTTCATGGTACCAGGCAAGAGTTCCTTCCTGAGGTACAGACTCTAATGCCATTAAAAAGTAGTTGGTTATCTACAATAATACTCACGACACTGTTACACAATAGCACCCCTTGCCAGGCCTGATCTTACTGTAGCTTAGAGGGTTCACAGCCGAGTGATGATTTTCTCCCCTGGTAGCCTGCATAGTACTTTCTAGCACTATGAGAGAAAGTGACTTAATTACTTTTCTGTTGCTGTTATGAGACACTATGGGGGCTTGCTCACAGCTTCTGAGGGTCCATCTATGTTCATCATGGCAGGAAGCCTGGCGGCAGGTAGGCAAGCATGGCACTGGCATAGCAGATGAAAGCGTATGTGTTATTAGCAAGATGCAAATCTGTACCCTTGGCTCCCTTTAAAATCATTCAATAGCTTCTCATTGTCCTTTGAATACAAACCAAACTCCTTACCATGAATTTCAGTGCCCTGTGTGCTCTGTAGACCCTACTGATTCCTTCACTTTAATAAAAGGTGCCTTCTAGCCAACCACCAGGGGCAGTATCTCCTCCCTGGAAGTGTGGATTCTGCATCTATTACATTGCTGAAATCTTGCTCCATTTCCTAGCCCTTCCCTTAGAGGCCTCTGTCTGGGAAGTCTAGTCCAGTAAGCCATATACATGGAACTCATTGAATAAAGACAGTCTGGCAGCATGCAAGCAAATTAAAACACTTACAGCTTGCTGTTGTGCTATGCAAACCAACATCAATAATCAACCCCAAAAGGTGTTTAAGTATAGTCATTAATACATTTCCAGAGAAAAACTACCAGTTAGTGCAGTTTGTGGCATTTTAAAGATCTTTGGAGCAGATGAGAAAACAAGCCAAGGAGCTTTCCCCTTCCCCGGCCCATTAAGTTTTTAATGAGAATTCGGTGTATGGAAAAAAAGAAAAAAATCACAAGCACACAGCCTTTTGTGTTTCCTTATCACCTGGAACTTGCCGGGCTTTGGAAGAGTTATTGTCATCTTGATTCTTGCATGAGTCACTGAGTTGCCTGCCCCCAGAGGCACTTCCTCATGATTCAGTGCAAAGGACTGAGCTGGCTGAGGCTTCCGGAGTGAGGAGTGAGTGTGTGTCTGGTGGGGGTTGTGGTGGCAACGCGTTGGCATGAGGCTTAATTGACACCTTTGATGTAGCCTAAGACAGAACCCGCACCTCCCACTGCCGCTGGGAAGACGTCAGCCATACGCAGGAAAAGGCATCTGCTGATGAATCCTGCATCTCATTCAGCCTGCTCCCGGAGCAGCCTTAGCTATCCCTAGCTAGTTCAACTGCTTCCCTTGCCTGCGGTGCTGGGCTTGGTGCTGAGAGGAGGCTCGGGCTTTGGCTATTGTCAGGTCAAACACTAAGACTGTGTCCATGTTAGAACTCATAGAAGGTAAGTGGAATGCACTGTCGGCTCTCCCCCAGGGCATCCTCCAGAATGTGTGTTTCTCCTGCCTGATTCTTCTCTCCCTGTGCATCTGCAAGGTTGCCAAGTTAAGAGTGGCAGCGTCTGATATCTTTATAAAATCATGTCTGAGGGGGGGTGGGTACGTGTTCTCAGAGGTGATGCTAGTTAGAGAAAAGAATTGCTGGCTTCTGTGGCTTCATCCATACTTACTGACAGTGTTTTCCACAACTTAGGTGTTGGGTAGAATTCCAGAGTTTGGGACCTGTTGGCAGCTTCTTATCAATTCACTAGCAACAAAGGCAAACGGTGTAGGGTTTCTCCGCATCTGTGGGCAATTATTTTGTCCTGTTTCGGGCAGACCCATCAGAATCTGGCTTGGCGGGAGGAGGGGGCATAGACAGGACATAAATGAATGTAGGAATGTGTAAAAGTCTGTGGGAATACCACCTGTGAGCTGTTTCAACATTTTCTCCCACTGGGTAACTAAACTGAAGACACACACCAAAAAATGCCTCAAAGCCTTGAACATACTCATGAGAATCTCTCTTGGCTCAAATAAAGCCATCACTGGAAAATTGTGCAAAGTACTTTTTTAAAATTATGTAACCTGCTATTTTATTAAACACAAGATTAACAGGACAGTGAATGTCTGAGGACAGGTATTCCCTAAGGCTTTGCTTCATCAGTCAAATAATGGGTCTAATTTTTAGCTGATTTCCCTCCTCTTACTGTTTATTTCCTTGAGAAGATGAATTGTCACTAAAAAATTCTTTAATGTGCTATTTTTCTCTGTATGTGATTCCTTTTATTTCTAGTTAATGGAACCCCTGGTAGTCAGCTCTCCACTCCACGTTCGGGCAAGTCACCAAGTCCATCACCCACCAGCCCAGGAAGCCTGCGGAAGCAGAGGGTAAGGACACAAGCTAGTCACCTATTTAAGATCTGTCTAGGTTTCAGTGCAGAGTGGCATGAGTGCCAGAAAAAAGTTCTACTTTTCTGGAGGGCAAGGGATAAGCAGTTGTGGCTCACTCACCATTGCTATGGTTCAGCTGGAACTCAGGTCTTTCAATTTCCACAGATTTGCCCAGGCTTACTTCTGAATAGAATGTAAATTGCTGCTTCAATTTTAAACATTCTCTTGTTTGTTCATAATGTATGTACTTTATTGTGTATGCAAGTGTCCTTAGTTGTATTTAATGTCATTAGATACTGCCATTAATGAGCAGCCTCTTGAGAGAAAGGAAAAGCCAGTGGAGGCAACGTCCCAGTGGAGAATTGCTCAGTGGCAAGCAGGGTGGTCCTGAGAAGCTGGAGAACCCATGCAGTGGCCATGGGAAAGCAGTATATCAGTTTTGTGAATGGACCCACACTGAGCACATTTTCTTGTATTTATTTTTAGCCTCTCATGTAACAGCGGAGAAATTAACTGAGCCCAGAGACAAGAATGTAAAAGTTACTGGATATAGTGTTAGCTTCTCCAGGCTAAGCATGGGGGTAACCGTTTGTTCTTCATCTGGAATGAAAAAAAAAAAATTCACTCCCTATGCTGGTCATCCATCCCAGTCATACTAAGGCCAGAAGATAAGAACTGGGAAAGGGAAAAAGGGAGGGCCATGCTGGAAAAAGTAAATGATCCCTCTGGGTCCTGCTTTCAAGAAGGAGATAGGGGGTTATGTATCCCTAAGTGGTTTTGAAATAGTTTGAGCAACAGAGACATCTCAGAAGCCATTGCATTTAAACATCAGAATTTTTTAATTTAATTTCTCTTATTATATATTTAAATGATGTTTCTAAATTTGACAAATTTAAGCTCATCAAATATGGAATTCTCTCTCTTTCAAGTTTTCTACACAAGTTGGATCTTTAGGCTGCCAGAACCCATCGGCCATTTTTTAAGCAGGGGTCAAAAAGAAATCAATTTGTCTGCAGTCACTTTGAACCAAATATCTTTCTGTGCTTAGTCTCCTGGCATTGAGCTGAGCTTGTTTAGTCTGTTAAAGCCTGTGATTTTGTATCTGCCTCTCTAGTCAATGGTGGGATCATTTTTTATTAGGGAAATATGTCATCCATCCTGAGTGATTTCAGGAATCATCAATGAACTACACAAAGCAGAACTGGCCACATTCATTCACTATCTTAAAAGATCATCCTTATGTAAGGGAAGAGCCAGCGTGGCCATTCTGTACTCACAAGTACTAGCCAGCAAGGTTCCACTCTGTAGAGAGTCAGAGATCTAACATAGAGAATGTCTCAGGAACATCCTGTCTCTTGAATTGTATTTGTGCTGCAGAGAACACACCTAGCATAGAAACCAACATGCCTTTTGATCCGTTGACTGAGTCTCAGACTTTACTGATCTCTCACAGGTTTAGTTGAAGAGACTAAATTCAGAGCGCTTTGGAATACATGCCAGCTTCTCTCCCTAGGTGTTTCTTATAGGGATCCCTCCATCTTGGAAGTAAAACCTTTTGCTCAGTGGTCCTTTACTTGAAGAATGAGGCCAGAATTTGCACCCTCAGCTTCATTGGGATTTTTCATTCAACTAAAGCAGAAACATTTCATCCAGCTTTGTCGCCATTGACTTACATAATTAACACTTTGTAGCACTTCAGAAATAACTAACAGGTGTGGCTCCCCAACAGATTTTTTTCATCTTACCATCTAAACCACCAGCATAGCTCTATCACTGAGGAAGCCAAAATTTTCTCATTTACTTTTAAGGGGACAGAGAGTTTATCGCCATCTGAAAACATTTATTAAACACATGTTGTAAGCAGGATGCTGAATGCATTCAAAGATGGTTTAGTTTCTAGGCTTTTGAATTTAGCTACATGTATTCAAAGATGGTTCTGTTTTCAAGCCTTTGAATTTATGAACACCCTCCATCTATGTACCATAGAGACATTTCCAGCTGCTTTGGTGAGAGACGCTTTCATCTTTTTGTGTAGACAACTGCATCGAATAACCCCTCCCTGTCAAAATGGGACCAGAATATCCCTAAAAACTGTTTCTGTTTCAAATTTGGTTAATATTCTTTTCAAATGGTTGGCTATACTTCTGTGCAGGAAATACTGAAATAAGTGAAAGATGGCATGAGCTAAAAGAAGACACTTCAAAGAATAAATTAATTCCTTTTATTGCAAATTAGAAAACAGTAGCCACTTCTATTTTTTCTTTCTGTGTTGCCTAGTAACATATCCAAAATGGGTTGGTAAAGCCATCTGGACACGCACACACTTAAACACACTCTCAGACACATTCACACACTCTCACAGAGACACATACACTCTCTCTCACCCAAACACACACACACACACACACACACACACACACACACACACACACACACAATCTGTCTCACACACACATACACACATTCTCTCACTTACACAGATATACACACAATCTCTCATACACTCTCACCCAAACACACACACACACACACACACACACACACACACACACCTTAAAATACAGGAGCAGAAACTAAGTTTTAAAAGGAATATTAAAATATATAACTGAGGTTTACAATTTTAAAAATCTATATTTTACTTATGTTAACTATGATTTAATATGCTGTTTTCCTTTCTTTAAGATCATGTTTCTAAATTACTTCTTTTTGACATTTGAGGATAGTCATACAGGAGACAAGCCAGCATGTCAGAGTTCTTTCTTCATAAATAAATTGGAGACAGTGGACCCAGTACCTTTCCTAATTATACAAAGCACAATTAGTTACTTGACCATCTAGAAGTGTCTGCCTAGCCTCAGAAGTCAACTTTAAGGCTCTCTTCCCCTCCATGAATGTTTTTGGCACCTTTTCTTAAGACATCAAGAAAAAAATGTATTGTGTTGTGTAGGTTGAATGAAGCTCCCCATTACACTCCCACATCACTGACTTTTGTAGATTAACTGATCCATCAGATGATGTAGAAGTGGGTGGTACAAAACTGGGAAAAAAGCCAACTGTAGAGGCTCTTGGTGGAACTGAGATGGTTGCTTGGCTACCAACAGTGAGATATAGTAGCAGACAGAGGCTGAAAGAAGTCAGGAAGATAATGGATAAGAGGTTGGGAACTAGAAGGAGAGTTGGGTGAGGTGTGGACAGGGATAAATAAGAATTCTTCCAGTCACCCAAACATAAAACTGTGAAAGGGAAGTATGTGTTGGGTTTACACTGTGTGCAACACTGGAGTTACATCCCAGAATATCCTGAAGGCCAGTGGCTGTGTCTGCTAAGTTTTTTTGCGAGGTAAGCACATTCTTCTACCCAGAATGGGAAGAAAATGTCCATAGAAGAATTGCCTAGACATAGAATAGCACAGTTGTTCTTGACTGGCAGCAGGAGCCATAGCTCAACCAGACATGATGGAAGGCAGGAGACCCTGATAGCTCAGGAAGCATTCTTCCTGCCAATGAAATGAAATCATCACTCTGCCTGTGTTATCTTTTCTCATACCCAAAGTTGATGACTTGAGTAGTTCTAATGATGCTAGAAGCCAAGGACCCATCCCTTTCCAAGTTGCTCTCCAGAGAGCAGCAGGAAACCCAAGAAAGATGAGTAAACGAATCTGTCCTGCCCTTCATCTTACAGGACCTGTACCGCCCCCTCTCATCGGATGATTTGGACTCAGTAGGAGACTCAGTGTAAAAGACACAATGGAGCAATATGTATGGTTTGTGATGGGATCAAGGTTTCCCATTTCCTAAGCAAATGTCTAACAGCAAAATACACAAAAGAGTTTTGCATAAGTTATTAAGTCCTACAGAAGCAAGTATGCAGACATTTTCTACTCATGGTATTCTTCTATGAAATTTTTTAAAAAATATCTCCTCCATTTGATATAACTGAGGAGATTTGAATACAATATTTGCTCCATCACTAAGGATTTTATGACTAAGGTCTAGTTCCAGTTAAATTTCATATATGAATCCAATATTGAATACAAGAACCACCCTCATGATCCAACATTACAGTCACCATTTCATCAATGAATTTTCTTTTTAATCCTCATAGACATATAGATATAATTTCTCTGTACATAATATAAAGCAAATTCAAATAACAGTTGTAGACATGGCTTTTCTAAAGGGTATACTCTTTTTTAAAAAAAATCATATGGCCATTTAGTTATTTTATTGCAAAATAATGCAAAAGTTCTTCATGATCTTTCCAAGTGAATATGTCTGGAAATGAGTAGGGGCTCTTGTGGGAGACATCTCACAGACTAACATTAGTCTGTAAGAATGTCCTGGTTTTCTTGTCATGTGGATTTTATTTTTCAAGATTATCTTTTATAAAAAATAGTTTCAGCAACATGGAAACATGAAGAACTTGGCGTTATTATTAATTATACAATGCTTCCCTACAACAGAAACAGTATGCATTTTTTTTCAAATGTGTGGTTTTTGACCTAAAAAAAATTGGACTTGTATTTTTTTGTTCAAAGAATAAACTCAGTTTGAGAATTGAAATTCTTCTAAATGGTACTTAGGTACATTGGGCTCCCAGAAATCCAAAATTATTTTTCTGATTATTCCTGGATCTTGTTTGGAAATTTACATATGCAAAACTCCTTTTGTGTCAACCAAGTGCGTCTCTGATTATAACCCACTGTTAAACGTTAACCTACTAATTCCTCTCCTCTAGCTCTCTATCTTCAAAAGTGTAAGTCAGCTTTGCTTAAATGTAAAACAATTATTTTTAAATCTGGATGTTAGAAATCTATGTGTACGGTGTATTGTATTTAGACCAGACCCCCTGACCATTTCTTTTTTTACTAGCTCAAACACTAACAATTTGAGACTTAACAAAGCATGTTTTATATTCTCCAGGCTTGACATATCTCAGTAGGGTGACAGATTTAAAATGTATGGTGCCACTTGGAGCCTTTTACTCAAAATTTCTTT